GGTGGGTGGGTGGTGACTCAGGTCAGTCAGCACTGGTTCCCCCTCCTGGCCCCCAGGACGGAGCCCCTGGGCGTCCTCACCCCCCCAGGACGGAGCCCCTGGGCATCCTCAGCCCCCCCAGGACCGAGCCCCTGGGCGTCCTCAGCCCCCCCCAGGACCGAGCCCCTGGGCGTCCTCAGCCCCCAGGACGGAGCCCCTGGGCGTCCTCAGCCCCCCCAGGACGGAGCCCCTGGGCGTCCTCACCCCCCCAGGACGGAGCCCCTGGGCGTCCTCACCCCCCCAGGACCGAGCCCCTGGGCGTCCTCAGCCCCCAGGACGGAGCCCCTGGGCGTCCTCACCCCCCCAGGACCGAGCCCCTGGGCGTCCTCAGCTCTGGGGCGAGATGTCGAGGATTCGGTGTTTCTGACACTGACGTCTGAGGATCCTCCAGGAGCCCTCAGTGGAATCTGCATCCTCGAAACCGCAAGATGCTCCCCCAGACACCCTGCAAGGCCCAGGGCAGGGGCCTGGGGGCAGGTGCCCCGCTGCAGGAGCTGGGTGGGGGGCTCAGCAGCCCCGAGCGGGTTCTGGCCTGCGCTCCGGGTCACCAGGCCCTGCGGGGAGCTGCGCGTCGTCCCTCTGGCTCTGGGTTGGGGTCAGAATGCCGCTGGCCCCTCGGAGGGCGTGGGGGGCTGAGGTGTGAGGAGCGGGGGCTTTACCACGACCTGGAGATCTGACTGCGGGCGGGCGGGTGTCTGCCCCAAGCCGGGCGGCTCTGAGTTGGGAGTGGCCTGCGTGTTCCACTCCGTGTCCCCGCCCCCCCGCCCCCGATCTCAGACACGGGTGGAATAAAATGTCATGGGTCCCTCAGGTGGGCGGGGCTTGGGGCTCTAGGGCGCGTGTGGACGGACGGACAGGGAGAGCCGGGTCCTGGAGGGAGAGCTCGCTGTGTCCTCGGTGAAGTCCGAAGCAGACGGCCGCGCCCTGAGCACTGGTCAGCAGCGGGCCGGGGCCCCAGGGGGGCTCCCAGAACGGAGCAGCAGGAGGAGGCCCCGCCGTCTCTCCTTGACTGGAGCGTCCACACGGCTTGGGGTGACCTCCTCTGCAGTACCTGAGCTCACCCTCGGCCCGGTCACCGGCCCCACGTGTCTGAGGTCTGAGGCGCTGCCTCTGCCCAGCCCCGGGGCTCAGGTTTCTCTGTGCCTCTATTCCGGGCCCGTCTGCTGCCACCCTATCCCACCCTCGCCCTTTGCGGAGTCCTGGGCCCGCCACCCGACCTTCCGGAGACCGCGGTGGCCGGCGTGTCCTCTGGTGCGGGGCCTGCGTCCAAGGGCAGCGTGGTGGAGCCGGGGACCGAGGAAGCCGTTTGTCTGGTCGCTGGCCCAGGGATCAGGACGACACCCCCAGCCCAGGCCGCACTGGGGGGCGGTCACTGCAGAGAGGGGAGGCGTGGAGGCAGCCTGGGGCGAGGACCGGGAGGGGGCCGCGCAGCCGTGGGGGACGGAGGGGCTGGTGTGGGCCTCAGTGCCGTCCTGGGTCCTGTCTGCCCCCGGTGGGCTCAGTGGGACACGCCGTCTCCTGGGCACAGACAGACAGCCGTGGGGCACACGCCTCGGACAGGACGGACGAGTGGGCTGGTCTGGGTGGACGTCCCGAATTCTCAGAGGGACCCTTCTCCTTTTACCTGTCAAATGGGGTTCCCCCACCATGTGCATCCGGGCCCCAGCCCCCACCGTCAACGTGGCCTTATTAGGAAACAGGGTATTTACTGCTGTGCTCAAGTTGAAATGACGTCATGAAGGTGGACTTGGTCCTGTGTGACCCGTGACCTTGTGAGAAGGGGCGGGACAGAGGCCAGGTGACGGAAGCGCCCAGACCCGAGGCTGCCGAGGTCCCTGCTACTGATCCGGTGTGGGGGTCCCTACGGAAGCATTGGGGGCGCCTGGGTCCTGTCGTGTCACCCCAGGACCACTGACCATGGGGTGCGCCCACAGCTGTGGTCCCCGGGGAGGATGAGGTGGGGCGCCTGGCTGAGGGGCATCCTGGACATAGAGACTCCTCCGTGCCAGCCGCCCGTACAGACGGTGTCCGGCTCAGGAGGTGGCTGTGCCCGGGCAGATGGTCTTCACCCTGGTGCCGAAACTCTGGTCCGTTAGTGCCCTGGGCGGGGGTCACAGGGCTGGCAGTGTGCTTAGTTACTTAGCAACCAGGGCATGGGGGGCCCCGGCAGACCTGAGCAGGTCCCCAAGAGATGGGCCTGTGCCGGCCGCTGACGTCAGCCAGAGGTGCCGTGGTCAGGGTGGGCGGCCGCGGGGACCAGGAATAGCCCAGCAGCCCCGGCAGAGCCTAAAATAGCAGCAGGATGGGGCCCACACCGCTGCCCGCCTGCCAGTCAGTGGGGGCAGAGCCACCTCTCACCTGTGCCCGGACCCGCTCAGACCAGTTACCACCGCGACCACGCCGCTGGGGCTCCGACTGCTGCCCCTGGCTCGTGCCCTCGCTGCCCCGGGAACACGTCCCCTCGCTGCCCGGGAACACGTCCCCTCGCTGCCCCGGGCTCGTGCCCTCGCTGCCCCGGGAACACGTCCCCTCGCTGCCCGGGAACACGTCCCCTCGCTGCCCCGGGCTCGTGCCCTCGCTGCCCCGGGAACACGTCCCCTCGCTGCCCCGGGAACACGTCTCCTCGCTGCCCGGGAACACGTCCCCTCGCTGCCCCGGGCTCGTCCCCTCGCTGCCCCGGGAACACGTCCCCTCGCTGCCCCGGGAACACGTCCCCTCGCTGCCCCGGGAACACGTCCCCTCGCTGCCCCGGGCTCACCCCTCTGCCGCGATGTTTATCTGTTTACGTGTCTCCGCGTCCGCGTTTGCCTGCTCTCAGCACGGCGTGTGATTCCGTGTGCAATCACTGGTGTGAGGGAGAGCCTGCAGCTTGGTAGCTCCGGGGCGTCAGCAGCAGGACGAGGGCGGGGTCCCAGCTGTCGGGAGCAGGTGCCTGAGGCCAGGCTGCCCAGCCTGCTCCCTGCCCCCACACAGCTCCTGAGCCTGGGCCGGTGGGCGGAGCCACTGCCCCCAGACGCGCCCCCAGGACCAAGGGCAGCCCCGGGCTGACTGAGGACCTGGGGTGATGCAAGGACGAGAAGTCGGGGGCAGTCCTGTGCAGTGAGCGCCTGAGGACTGGGGGGCTGCCTGGAGGAGGAGGCCTGAGCTGATGCAGTTGGGTGGACACGGAAGGCACCAGGGCCGAGGAAGGGCTTTGGCCAGCGCCAGGGCGGCGGCTTCTGTGTCCCGCCTCCTCTGTCACCTCCCTGTTCTGTGCCGAGCACACCTGCCTGGGGCGGCCCATCCTGTGTCCCCACATGATGGGGGGGTGCGGACGCCGTGTCCAGGCATCTGCAGGAGGTTATCCCTCCAGCTGGGAGGTGGCCCCTGGCACAGTGGATACATCTTGTTGGCCGAGGAGCAGGAGAGCCAGGCAGCGAGTGAGCGACCTCTCGTGGGTGTCGTGGTCGTGTGAAGGCGGGGCTGTGTGGCCAGGGCCTGGGGCCACTGGGCTGGGCTCACAGCAGGGATGGACTGGGGCCTGGCCAGCCCAGCTAGGGGAGGAGCCTCCAAGGGGGAGGAGCCTCTGGCTTCCAGGGGGAGGAGCCTCCACAGGGGGAGGAGTCTCTGGCTTCTATGGGGAGGAGCCTCCAAGGGGGAGGAGCCTCCAAGGGGGAGGAGCCTCTGGCTTCCATGGGGGAGGAGCCTCCAAGGGGGAGGAGCCTCTGGCTTCCATGGGGGAGGAGCCTCCACAGGGGGAGGAGCCTCTGGCTTCCATGGGGGAGGAGCCTCCAAGGGGGAGGAGCCTCCACAGGAGGAGAAACCTCCAAGGAGGAGGAGCCTCTGGCCTTCATGGGGGTGGAGCTTCTGGCTTCCACAGGGGAGGAGCCTCTGGCTTCCATGGGGGAGGAGCTTCCACAGGGGGAGGAGCCTCCCCAGGGGCGTGGCCAAGGTTCTCACCCACCACTGTCTGTCCAGTGTGGCACTGACTTCCTCAGTGTTAATGTTCGGTGCTTGTTAATGGGGCCACACTGCGTGTTCTGGGGAGACTGACATCCTGGGGGATGCAGGACTGCCCTCTGCTGGGATACTGGCCCCCCAGCCTCAGAGACAGCGCTTTCTGGGGGCCATGGGACCCCTGGAGTGAGGAAGCCAGGTGACCTCACCGAGCCGTCCCCTTCACCTGGGTCCTCTGCACATGGCCCAGAGCCAGACCAAGGCCACAGACTGGCTGCCCTTCTCCCTCCCTCCCTGGGTGGCCAGAACTGGGGGCAGGGCGTGACGGGCATGTCCAGCGGCCTGTGCGTCTGTGCGTGTCGACCCAGGACATGTACACTGTGTGAGCATCTCCGTGTGCACTGTGTGCATATGCGTGTGCATCTGCACGGGTCACATGTACACTGTGCGGGCCTGCGTGTGTCGCTGAGTGTTCCTCTCGGTCTTGTGTGTTCACACCTGTAAGAACCCATGTGGTTGTGTGCAGTGTGCATGTTTACAGCTGCGCGGTCATGTGTGGGCACTGCCTGGGAGAGGGAGGTGACGGCTGGGTCCCCACCGCTCTCGGCCCCCGCGGGCCTGTGCTGGCCTCGTCCGCCCTCCCGGGTGGACACAGAGACCCAGGGCCCGCTCGGACTCACCCCGCGTTGAGCAGTCCGGGGCCCCGACAGCCTCCCGACAGCCGATGGGGCCTCCTCCGGGGCTCGGCCCTTCATTTCCGGCGTGAGAGACCAGACCACACTCCATTTCCTGTCTGCCCAGGCGCGGCCGTGAACACCAGGCCGCGTGGAAGTGAGGTCGCTGGCCCGAGCCGGCTGCGGGCTTCGCGGGGCGTGTTCCCGACGCGTCATCTGAATGCCGAGGAGCCCGGCCTCCGTGGGCCCCCGCAGGGCGGCACTGGGTGGGCGTCCAGCCTCGGGGCCAGGACGGCCGGTGGCTTGTCCCCAGGGCTGGCCGCTCAGCCCACATCTCCACCTCTCTTGCAGGTCAGCTGGCCGCCGGCACCTGTGAGATTGTGACCCTGGACCGGGACAGCAGCCAGCCCCGGAGGACGATCGCCCGGCAGACGGCTCGCTGTGCGTGCAGAAAGGGGCAGATCGCGGGCACCACGAGAGCCCGGCCCGCCTGCGTGGACGGTAAGAGCCCAGGGGCCGGAAGGCCGCGGAGGCTGCGGGGGGCGTGCACCTGATGAAGCCGCATCCCCCAGACCATCTCTGGGTCCGGCCTCAGGCTGGGCAGTGTCCCTGTGGGCGGCGGCGGTTTGTGCGTCTGGGCGTGGCGTCTGGGATGCCGCGTCAGAGAGCCGGGGACCCCAGCCAGCCCTGGGGTGTCCTGGCCCGAAGGCTGCAGCATCTCGGAGCTGCTGTGGGCAGAGGGGTCGGAGGCCATGCTCTCTGCAGGGCAGCCACGTGGTGCTCGTGTGACTGCATCACCCACGGTCTGGCGCCGGCTGCCAGCCAGACGCCGGGCTCCTCCCCGCGGCACCGTCCCTCCTGGGCTCTGAGGACGAGGCCTGGAGCCTGAGGAGGCGGGAGTGGCCTCCTGCTCGGGGAGGAGCTCGCTGGTGGTGAGACGCACACCTGGACACCCTGCCGAGCTGACGCTCACGGTGCCTCAGGAGCAAGTGTGGAACCTGAGTCGCAGACGGTCTTCCGAGGCGGAAGGGAGGCCCCTGCAGCCCTCCGGCCACTGCCGAGGGTCCGGCCACTGCGGCGGAGGCTGCGGCGCTCATTGGCACCCTGCTTCCTTGGGTGCTGAGCGCAGGGCTGGGTGCACACCCCCTGGAAAAGCACGGGGCACCGTGGGAAGGGAGGGTGCTGTCCGCATGGCCGCGGTGTGTTGGTCACCTGGGTGGGGTGAGAAAGGCCCCCCAGGAAGAGACCAGCAGAGCCTCAAGACTGTTGGATCAGGGACTCCTGCCGATGTCACCGGTGAGCAGGGACTGTCCAGGGACAGGTTGGGCCGTGCGTTGGCCTGGGGCCCATGGCCGGAGCTCTGACCCCTGGGCCTCCAGCAGGAAGGGGAGCAGTGGGGGAGGGGCCAGGCCCCTTGGCTGCCTCCACCTCAGTCGGGGCGCCCTGGACACTCTGGGGCTGAGTGGCTGCCCAGGTCCAGCCCGGCGGGGCCACGCGCACAGAGCCGGGGTGACCAGTAGTCTGGGGGACAGTGGGACTCTCGGAGGACCCCGCAGGCCCCACCTTTGCTTCCTCAGGGTCCCCGCGGCCGGGTGCCAGGGCCTTGTGCTGCCTGCCGGCCCTGAAGGGCTCTCTGGGGACAACGTGATGATTCATATCTGTCCCCTCCAGATGTGCTCTCCTCCTGATGCTGCTTCTGAAACCGGTGCAGCCCACAGAGCTGGGCATGCTGCCGGGCACCTCCCTGCCACCCCTACCAATCGGCATCCCCCCAAAGGTGCGCCATTCAGCAGTGCACAGCGCTCTGCCCCGGGCCGCTCTCGGACCCGGAGCCCCGCTCTGCCCCCGAATTCCTGGGTCCATTCGGGCCCCGGGGCGGCCATCTCCGTGCCCAGTGGACTGAATTAATTCTCGCCACATCCCGCTAGCGTCCCCGGCCGCTGTAATTGCGACGGGCCCACGTGTGAGGGGAGCGTGGCGTCGCCGGGGTGATGGGTTCTTCCCAGGACCCGGAGAGGGAGCCAGCCGCCTCTCCTTCCCCGTCCTCATTAGCCACGAGCGCCCGCGGGGAGAGCGGGGGTCACCGCGGATTACTAATTGAATCTGCGTCTGCTCCCCTGAAACCGGGGCCTCGCCCCTCTCCCGGGAGCCCGCGGCGCCCCGGGAGCCGGGTCCCAGAGACCCAAATTAAAACCTGGCCATTGTCAGGGGAGGCCAAACAAATTAGTTCGCTTGCAATTTTTGCACAGTAGGCATTTTCCAGACTGCCACCTAATTTAATTCCTGCTTTTTTATTTTCTTGCTCTGTGTGCATAATAAGTTTTTGTACGTGCGGGCTGAGGCTGCTGAAGAGGAAACGGGTCGGATCGGGCTGGCCGGGGTCTAATGAGGGCCGGGTGCGCGATGGGTGCCGCCGGGTGCTGACTCCGCCGGGCTCGGTCAATCCGTGAGCCGGAAGACAGCGCGTTGCTGCTTCTGCGCACTGGTGTGTTCATGGGGTAGTCAGCTCACTGCTTATTCATTCGCTAACTCGCTTGTTCATCAATTCAAATAAGGAGCCAGCTTATGGGTGCAGGGAAGGTGTGAGGAGGCCTGGCTCTTGAAATACCCAACATCTGGAGTGGACACTGCTGTGGGGCTGGGGCTGTGGGACCCCAGAACTCAGCCGTCTCTTCCTGCCCAGGACCTTGGCAAAACTGCATTCTGGAAGGAGCATCCCAGTAGGGTATTGAGGGATGAAGAGGAGCTCACCAGGAAGGCTCCCCTTCTTCAAAGGAGGGGCTGGCGGTGGGAGGGGTCTGCTGTGTCCCTGGGCAGCAGCATGGCATTGTTCCAAGTGGGAAACCTGTCAGGAGAGAGGATCTAAAACAAATCTTTCATCTCTGCAAGTCTTCGCGTCCTGATGCAAATGCACGAGCAGGCCCGGGCTGCCCGGGTCACAGACGCCACAGTTAACAGCACCGGCCAGCTGCTGGGTGAAGCCCTGGGCTCCCTCTTCCCGTCAGCAGAAACGTCGACCCCATGCCTCCGCGGGGTCGCGGTGCGGACTCAGCCCTGCCCCCGCCGTGACCCTGCCTGCAGCAGGAGGCCACCATGCCAGCTGGCCCTCTGCTGAGGCGGCGTCTCTCTACAAGTGGGTTCTTCTCCCGTCAGCTGAGTTCTCGTAAAACTCCTTTGAAGGAAATCAGGGTGTAAGAAGCAGCGTGGTGCTCAGTGGCGGGGTCCCGCAGTCGGCTGGGGAGCGGCCCTCCCAGCTGGGGTGGAAGGTGAGGCCGAGACCTCCGCCCAGGGCTGGACAGGTGTCCCTGGGAGCCCTCGGGGAGGACAGGCCAGTGTTCGGGCTCCACCCCAACCTGCGGAAGAGGAGGGTGAACCGGGCTGGCCCAGGGACTGGAGGGGCTTTGGGAAGTCGGGGTCCCTCTGTGCGTGGCCAGCTGGGCTCTTCGAAGGCCCTGCTGGGAACCCCTGGCCGAAGGGGTCAACTGAATTCCTGAGCAGGGTCCGCCCACACCACGTGCCTGCACATGAGGGTCCGCGTCCTCACAGGACTCTCCTTTCCCGGAGCCTGAGTGGAGACAGGTCCCAGGTGGGGTGGAAGCCATGACCGGGCCCCACACATGCCCACAGCGGGTGTCGGTGAGCCGAGCTCGGGTCTCCGTCCACGGTCGCAGTAACAGCGGGACACCCCCGTGCTCTGGACATGACGTCCGGGGCACCAGGCCCTTCGACGCTGGCCGTGCTGCCGCCAACGGAGGGGGTGGCTTTTCCTCACTGCGCTCCCCACAGGAGATGTGGCTGGGGGAGAAGTGTTTGGGGGCCACCGTTCGGGGTGTGGTTGGGGTCCCCTGTCAGGGAGGCAGTCGAGGTCCAGGAGAGGGTCCAGGATGGAGCCCCTAGCAGCCTGCTCACTCAGAAGGGGACACGAGAAAGCGAGTCCGGAGTCCCCCCTCGCGGGTGTGACCAGCGGGCCTTCAGCAGGGGTCAGGGGAGTTCCATGCGGAAAGAACAGCCCGCCAGCCAACGGGACAACCCGACGTCCACACGCGAAGCAGCGGCGTTGGGGCCCGAGCTCACACCACGTGCGGAGATTCACTCAACGCGGATCAAAGGCCTGCATGTTCGTGGCGCAAACTACCGGACTGTGGGAAGGAAATGGGCACCTTTTCAGGACCTCGAATTTGGCAAATTCTTCGATATGACGCCGGGAGCGATCACAGGACCCAGGTCAACAGGACTTCATCAGAACCGAGGCCTTTCTGCTGCGGGCGTGGCACCGGCCAGGGAGGGGCCCCCACAGGAGGAGGACTGTACCCGCAGTCCTCGCGTCTGGACAGGGCCTTGTATTTCGAGTCCACAAAGAACCCCTACGACCCAATAACGAGAATGTAAGTGACATAGTTAAACATTGGACAGAGGATCTGAAAACGGACGTTTCTCCGAAGGAGACACGCGTGTGAACAGCCGGCGGGCGCGTGGAAAATGCCTGATGTCCTGGGGGGAAGGCGGTTCCCTGCAGGTGAGACCCCTGCAGGTGGAGACCAGACCTCACAGGACACCGGGCGTGGCGAGGATGCGGAGACATAGGGAGGCCGCACTACAGAAAGTCCCGACCCCCGGAGGAGGTGAGGGAGCAGCTGAGCAAGCCCGGCCTGCGCTCCCCGACCCTCCCCCCTGCGCCTGGCCACAGTGGGGGGGCTTGGACGGAGGGACCATGGGTCTTGCTCTGGTCCTTTCTCGTGTGGGCGGACCTCCCAGGACCTCTGAGCACAGGGTCCCTCGAAGCTCGTTCTTGCTCAGCAAGTTGCCAGGAGCAGAGGGGCAGACAGAGGACTGCGGTGGACCGGCCCCGCCTCTGGTGGAGATGCGGGCGGGCAGGCGGTGTCACGCTTCTGTGGGAAAAGCTTTTGGTGTGGCTGGCCCTCCGGACCCGCTGGTCCCTCCCGTGGTGTGGCTGGTCCCTCCCTGCGGTGTGGCTGGCCCTCCGGACCCGCTGGTCCCTCCCGCGGTGTGGCTGGCCCTCCGGACCCGTTGGTCCCTCCCGCGGTGTGGCTGGCCCTCCGGACCCACTGGTCCCTCCCTGCGGTGTGGCTGGTCCCTCCCTGCGGTGTGGCTGGCCCTCCGGACCCGCTGGTCCCTCCCGCGGTGTGGCTGGCCCTCCGGACCCGCTGGTCCCTCCCTGCGGTGTGGCTGGCCCTCCGGACCCGCTGGTCCCTCCCGCGGTGTGGCTGGTCCCTCCCTGCGGTGTGGCTGGCCCTCCGGACCCGCTGGTCCCTCCCGCGGTGTGGCTGGCCCTCCGGACCCGCTGGTCCCTCCCGCGGTGTGGCTGGCCCTCCGGACCCGCTGGTCTCTCCCTGCGGTGTGGCTGGCCCTCCGGACCTGCTGGTCCCTCCCTGCGGTGTGGCTGGTCCCTCCGGACCTGCTGGTCCCTCCTGCGGTGTGGCTGGCCCTCCGGACCTGCTGGTCCCTCCTGCGGTGTGGCTGGCTCTCCGGACCCGCTGGTC